GCCTTAGGCATGAAAGCTAGCTTGGTGTCTTAGGGCTAATCACCAGGAGACGGGGAGTTCTAGTCCTGCCTTAGTCATGAAAACTGACTGGGTAACTTGTCAATCACCAGAAGACAGTGAGTTCTAGTCCTATCTTAGGCATAAAGCCAACTGAATGACTTTGGGCCAAAAAACAGGGGATGGGGAGTTCTAGTCCCGCCTTAGGCAAGAAGGCTAGCTTGGTGACTTAGGGCCAATCACCAGGAGATTGGGAGTTCTAGTCCCACCTTAGTCATGCAAACAGACTGGGTGACTGGATCAATTCCCCAGGAGCCAGTGAGTTCTAGTCCCACCTTAGGCGTAAAGCCGACTGTCTGACTTTGGGCCAATCCCCAGGAGACGGGGAGTTCTAGTCCCGCCTTAGGCAGGAAAAGTTTTGGCATGCAAAATGGAAAATTCACTTCTCCCTTTGATGTCAGAGGGTAGAACCTGCTGATGGTTTAATTTCACTCACCCTTGAAGATCATATTGGCTTCGGGCAGGGTGAGTTGATACCCGTAAGCGAAGCTTGTCTCCTGCAGCCGAGTGTTGGCTTCAAATTCCACGCCAACCTGAATCTGCCAAGGAGAGGCGGCAAAGATGGAAGTCAAACTCGAAGGTTTGGGGCTCAGGAAAGGAGGAGGAGGAGGAGGAGGAGGAGGAGGAGGAGGAGGAGGAAGGTTAGGAGAAGGAGAACGAAAAGGAGTAAGGGGAGAAGAAAAGAGATGAAGATTAGAAGGAGAAGGGAAAAGAAGAGAAGAAAAAAGATGAAGATGAGAAGGAGAAGGAAAAAATGAAAATAAAAAGATGAGCATTAGAAGGAAAAAGAAGAGAAGGGGGAAGATGAAAATTAGGAGAAAGGGCAGAAGAAGAAAAGAAGAAAGAGTAAAGAGCAGAAGGAAAAAGAGCAGAATAAAGTGATGGAGGAAAAGGAGGAAGGAAAGGAAAGAAGAAAAGGAGGAGGAGAAAAGTGGAGAAGGAGGAGGAGAAGGAATGAAGGTTCAACTCGCCTGGTCATTAGCTCGGTGGTAATAACTGGCATGGGCTCCACCATATCCCAAATTAAGGGTGGCTATCCATTTCAGAGCTAAAATAACGCACAAATATTATTAAATACCCTGCATTTCTGATTATTAAATACATTGCATTTCTTCTTCACGGCGGAGTGCAAATAAGCGAAGCATTTTAAACACAAAACCATAATTAAAAAAACAAGGCAACCTGGCCTTTAGCAAATTATTTTTTCTTGACTCCATCCTGATTCCATACGGGATTACCAGTGACCAAGAAATAAATTTCCTCTAACCAAACAAGACAATTTGGCTATCTCTGCTAGTTCTGTCATCTTCACCAGCCATTCCCAACGTTCCTGATTATTGATCTACCCACAATGGGGCCACTGATCTATCCAAAGTCCAACTCAACTCTTCAGTTGAACCTAAATATTTGACTTTGGATTATGCTCAGAGTGGGAGAGGTCAAAAGTTCCTTCCTTCCTCTCTTTCTGTCTTGTCTTTCTCTACTTCCTCCCTCCCCTTTTTCCTTCCTTCCTTCCTTCCTTCCTTCCTTCCTTCCTTCCTTTTCTTATATTCCTTTTCTCCTTCTTTTTCCTTCCTCCTTCCCTTTCCTTTTTTCTTTTCCTTTCTTTCTTTCTTTCTTTCTTTCTTTCTTTCTTTCTTT